TCTGTCGTAATCTAACTTTATTTAAGATGGATGTGAATCACAGTTATCAGAAAGGCAAAACCTGTGAAAGATAAATTCACTAGACTGCCTGATGTTACAATTAATGATAAAACCTTATTGCAAGATAGTGATAAAAATATTTTTAGATTTTACTGCAACAATGCAGAGAATAAATAAAATGCAAAAACATGGAATTTTAATTTCTAAATAAATAACGTAACTTGTTATTTATGTGTAGTTGTGTTATCAGACAGTGTTACTGAATTTAGAATGAGAAATAATTCAACACATTACATAATTAGAGTCATTTATTTGCTTATGTCACAGACATTAATTAAGCCAATTAAGCCTTTTATCAATGTAATCCAACATGATACTGCCGGGACGGAAATCCGACGCGTAAGACTGTACACAAACTAGACATTTATGATAGAATAAGTTTAATAAATGATTATGTTCAAAACCAATGCTCAAATAAATATTGTTATATACACAATTACCTATTGCTTTTTATTTTCCTGTTTATTATATAATTATAATTGAAGGAAAAAATAGCAGATATTAACAAAACCGCAATTAGAACAATCATGCAACCAAGTGAGGGAGCGCAAAGCTTCGGCACGAATGGGTTGGCTCTACCGGAGTGAAAAAACGGCATCACACAAAACCGGCGTGAAACAACACTGTAGTTGTTTGAAAACCACAACGCTATGATAGCGTTGTGTTTTTCCGTGTGAATGAGGTTACCAGAGGCCCAATCCCTCCCCCTCCGCTATTCCTTCCCAATCATTAAATATCCGCAATGCCCAAATGGCCGGCAACGCACTCGTAACTCCTTTGGCGTTGCTGGTGACAATTGGCGGCACCGATTGCTTACCATCAGTAATCAGTCTATTCGTCTGCTGACATATACTACATATATATTTTTTTTATGTTATATAGGTAATCAAGATTACAGTAATGTAACAGACTAAACAGCTATACATTGTCTTCAAATAATTCTCAAAAAGAGTTATATTATCCAAATACATAAAACAAACGCGTTTTATTTTTTGGAGTAAGTTAACAATCGAAATAGGTCCCTTGTTCCGTCGTGATTTACTACTAACTAACGTTATTATTATCACGAACCATCAGCTACAGGTGTACATTAAAACTAATAGCATTTCCTTTTATCATTTGGTACTCAGTAAGCCGGATAGGTGATAATATAAAAACAGAAATGTTCAATCATTAATTTCGTAGTAATTACCCAAATACCGCTAAGCTAAATAATAACTCGGATGATTAAAATTAAGGTGTGTTTTGCTTATAAATTTCAACTTAAATGTTGATTAAATTGATACGAAACGTAGGTAGGTAACAAAATAAATATGATGACTAGATTCTTGTGATAGTAGGTAGGTACAGACTGACAAAGGAAATTAGTCATTATTTTTCGGAAGTTGTAGCTTTATGAGGAATGTCTGATACCTCAGGGGTTACGTCATAGAAATTTTATGTCGTCATTCAAGAAATACGATGACGTAAACATAAGTAGGTACGCTGACTAAGATATAATTCGCCGTAAACTTGAAATAAAAATAACAGGGGAATTCAGGCTGACGTCGGAAACTAAACAGTAGTAGGTTTTTAGTGGACGAAACTTTGAATTCTCTCGGTCTGGAAAACACCCCCGTTCCTTCTCATGCTACAGGCCGGAGCCGCGGCGCCTACATGCGCGTGCGTTTAGACCCGCAACCCGGCTGAACATCAGCTCTTTTAGGCACCACCTGTACCTACTGGTGTAATAACTCTTTATGCCCCGCTTTATGTGCTGATAGCGCGATCTGTGACGTCAAGGCCAAGACGAATAGGTCTCTCATGGCTCCGCCTACTGTTTTGCGACCATGAACTTAAGCAGGAGACGTCTTCCCAGTTCCTCTCGCCCCACTTAATGACCTCTAGTCGGTCGCGCGAGGTCGCCATCGCCGTATATTTCCCTAAGTTCAGACAGACAGGATGCGTTTGTCCTCCTTCCCAGTATGGTGGACTTCGAGACATTAATTAGGTACCTACTGCAGGCAATCACTTCCACAATAAAGAACCGTAGGTAACCCCTGCCTGGAGCAAAAGAAGGAACGAATTGGTTTTTAGTCAGTAAGAGCCTGTCACTCCCTTTCACCTCACTTTGGGCAAGAGATGGCATTTTATACTTTTCCAGCCTCAAAAAGATATCTTGAAAAGATGACTTGCAAGTGCACCTCCAAAGTAATCCTGGTGGTACATGTTTTTATTTTCTCCTTCTAAGGGGAAGAAAGGAATATCTACTGGGCCCAAAACCATGGGAAAAAGAGATCGAGACTATACATATGTAAGTACATAGAGTTACCTACTGGACGATGAGCACATCTTTATAATATAAGTATTTATATCGAGCATTTATTTCCAATCTATCCTACTACAATGATGGCCATGACCGGCAACGCGCCTCCGTCTCCTCTGATGCAGTCACCAAGTAATCTTTCTATTACCAAAATGTACTCTGTGAAGTGATCTGTCTTCTCCTTTGTCTCCTATTCACAAAAAGAGAGATCTTATGGAAACTGACCAATATGGAATTCTTTGGGGATCTGAAAATTGGACCCGGCTGTCGGCAGTTGGGTTCGGGTTGCTTATTGGACCAAACCACAAAGTTTTTAAATGGTACCATGATAAAAAGTAAAATCTAAATTTAAATAAGTACACGCTTTGTGTGAAGGTTTTGTTCAAAATTATCATTACATTATAGATAGTACAATCAAGTATGAAACAATGCATTCTAATGTAGGTAATGGCGTATCACACTTTGCAACCATTGACATACATTACCATACTCGAGCCGTTAAGTACAGTCAGCTCCAAAAGTCGATGAACAGAATCAATTTACCAAAACACCTGTTTACAATAAAACGCCATAAGTTATAGTCGCAACTAGGAAACAAAATAGCCTGTACACCAGAAATTTACAAAAGTCGTTACACACGACTATTTCAAAAGTATCTGTGCACTATAGTATTCCTAAAATCGCTGTACACCTTCAATCCAAATGTCGCTGAACATCATTGTATCAAAAGTCACTAAACAGCAGTAAAGACAAAATTAGGTTAACAAAGTATATTTTTAATGTTGCCCCGTGTTAATATACTTTTGACGCTTATGTTGTTCAGCTACTTTTGGGACAGTGTTTGCTAGACCTTAATAATGTATGTTAACACGTTAGTATCTACATATTTCAAAACTTATTTACAAATAAATTATATTTTATTGTCAGTAACCATATTAATCTATAATTTATGAAATAACATAAACATAACTCTAATGATCTACGAAGTGATTTTTGTGACGGTACTTGTAATTTACTTTGCGCAAATCTTACAAAACCTACCTTCCTTTAATTTATTATTTTTACCCGACTACGGCAATGCTAAAATTTAAAGAATTCGACATATGACATATCATTAGAAACGTCTTAATTGTCCGCTGGTTATAAGTTATATGATGTATTACAAAATCTAATGCGGCGTCCTCTAGCGGACAAAACAACCAGAGTAAAAAATAAAGTTCAGATAATTATACCGTGTTTGGTATCATTTTAAAGCGCTTTACTTGTACATTTTGAATATATGTGTATTACTAGCATTTTTTGGTGACTTTGCTTGTATTCATGTGCTGATTGCATATAATTCACATCTTTTCGTTCATACCTTTTACTACTTAATATTACACAAATACACAAATACACTTTAACACCAAAATAGTACAAATAAATAAAAGGATTAAAACTAAAACCCAACTACGGCAAACACCGACGCTGAAAAACGCTGTTTTCTTTCTTATCTTGTTCGGAGGAAGCGTTCGGGTGTCACCTAGCACAGATCGCCCGAAGGACACGGTAGAATATACGGTGGAAGTGTGCCCCGCTTGGGCAGGAAGACAGTATTTCAATAAAATAACTGTTGCTATAATCACTCTTCTTACAACTCTTGATATTACAATCACAACAATTACTAAGGATAATTAAGATTAGGTTGAATTTGAACTTAACGTCCACCGAACACGTGGCCGCGTGCGTATTCTACGAAGGTCCAACACTAATTGTCCTGTTTTACAAGAAGGCCGCCTCACCAGAGCTCGGTGTTCGCTATGGACTTGAAATAATTATGACAGTTGACAGTGAAGTTCGACATCGAAGTATAACAAAGAGGTTTTACATGCACTGATGGCCAGTGCGCCGACATATACTTTGTTAACCTAATTTTGTCTTTACCGCTGTTTAGTGACTTTTGATACAATGATGTTCAGCGACATTTGGATTGAAGGTGTACAGCGACTTTAGGAATACTATAGTGCACAGATACTTTTGAAATAGTCGTGTGTAACGACTTTTGTAAATTTCTGGTGTACAGGCTATTTTGTTTCCTAGTTGCGACTATAACTTATGGCGTTTTATTGTGAACAGGTGTTTTGGTAAGTTGATTCTGTTCATCGACTTTTGGAGCTGACTGTACCTACCTAGTTAACTGCCGATATTATCTTTTTTAACTTGTTTGTGATAAAGTTATGAGGTGTACCTTACACCTCGTTACCAGATTGTAACTTACGTCATTATGTTAATAAAAAACAAGGTTATGCGACTAAAACGTTAACAATCTTAATGTTTAGCCATTTTTTGCTAGTTGAAGGACGTCACGCAAATATTTCTGAGTAGTGACCATTTTTATTAACAATAGACATTGTTACATACCTGTCGAATTTATAATATTATGTATAGTCAGAAATATAACACATTGTACAACGAATGTTTATTTTATTTATTTAGTTTCCTTATTTTGTTATTTTCCCAGACGTCATGAACTTGATAAAGTAACATTATGTGGAATGGGATTTACAAGGTTCACTATAAAGCAATAAAACAACAAAATACTTAATTATATTAAAAATTTATTAGCGATTTTACAATTCATAAAATTATCCAAAATATCTCCTCACAACAATTATAATAAAAGCTTACAACGTCTAAACCAAGATTATTGGAAGAATGGTAGGTAGAAAACTAATTCCAATCATCACCAACTAAAAAGGTATCAGTCCTTTTATCTTTTGTGTAAAGAAATGAATAAGAAAAATCATTCAGAAACATCAGTCATTGCGTCACTCGCTAGAGCTGAGCTTACAAGCTCCAAACATTACGATAAGTTCAGTTTGTGATCTTCAGATACGTTAAAATATATCAGAAAATAAAGTAAATAATATGTGATGGAATCAGTACTGGATTTAAACGATAGCGATAGTAATAATATCTACCGGGCCCAACATAATTTGAGTGAATAAGTCAGATCGAAGGGATCAGTAGATTTTGCTAAGGATTGATGCTCAATCCAGCACTGTATGAATTAATAGTCTGTGTAACGGCATAGTGTCAAACTACGCCCGCATTAATTTCTCTAATAGTAACACTATTCACTGGCTCACTTCAATAAAATACTATGGATTAAGATTAAATGCTCGAACCTGCATCTTACTATAAAAGCAGAGATTTATTGATATGAATTTGGGTTCTCACTGCAGATAACTTTGAATGCACTCAACCACTGTTAACAGTTTAAGAGGTACGAGTATCATTTACTGGCGTAGCTAGATTGGAACCTTCTAGAAGTATTTTATGATGGTTTTTTACTACGTTTTGGGTCTTGATATAAATACTGTATTTTACAAAAGTATTCTTGCCTAGCTACGCCTGTCTAAGTCACTGTTTGCACTTATAACTCGTCCTTCTCAAGGTCAACGTCGGATAGGTCGATTTCTTCTTCCTGAGGCAGTTCACCATCCTTGCCGTCCCAAGCGTCGGTTGACACTATCTTTGGCATCTCAGCACCTCTGACAGGCGCGGTCTGGCCGCGACCGAATGACAGATCCCTGTAATCAAGAATCCCATTGAAATTCTAGACATGCTTATTCTAAGACCGTTTCCGGAGAGTCGAGCGAGCCGCTGGCTACCCGGTAACTGCGGTTAATAAATTTTAAATCTAGTTTTTTTACAATGTGTAAAAAAAACAAAATTATCTGGTATATAATAATTAGATCACTTTATGCAACATTCTATAAAGTTATTAGGTTTAATTTATTCTTCAATAATGATTTACAAGAACCTAACAGGTAAAATCAACCAATCTACATTAAAGAGGCTAAATATAATTTGCCCAAGGGAAAATACTTTAAGCAAAAAATTTTATATATTACGGAAAGTCATCAACTTTTCCTCGAGGCCTGCATAAAACATCTTTACAATGAGTAAGTTTTTGTCTGCAGAGTTGGTTGACAGTTTTGCCGATTAGTCCTTTTTGTCTAACTTTATCGACATCGGAAGTCAATGATTAAGGTAGAATCGAATGATTCTTAATTGGAGGTAGATATATTTAATAGACTATCATAAATGTATACTAAATTCTAATATAGAAATAAAGCATTTTAATTTACTGCATATTGGGCATTACAAACACGCCAAGAGAGAATACAACACTGGCATTTTTCTAATATAAAAAGATAGGGAAAATTCTAGACTCACCTAAGGAATTCATTGATACCAGTTTCGGAGAAGGATCCCCTAAGGGTTGAGAACTTAAGTTTCTTAGCGTTGACCACTGCCATAGCGGGGTAGCCGAAGCCGCCGAGCTCCAAAGATTCTTCTAAAGCTGTTTGTGCACCAGCCTCTGCCCATACCCATCTGAAAATAAACATACAATTTAGATCTCCGATCGCGGGATGATAATGTGACTCTCATGTATCGTGGAAGCCTATAGCTCTATGTTGGATTGTCACAGCTTTTGATAATGATAGAACGACGGTTGCAGCTGTTCTTTTTCATAGAATTAGGGAAGAAAGCGAGTTGATGAAGCACTTGATAGAAAGCAATCAGCGTCGTTCGCAACACCAGAGGAGTAAGAAAGTTGTTGTCTAGGTGTTTATCCTCTCGTAACCTCATTTACATGTCGTTTTTACATCGTATTCAAATAAATAGCTACTTCTATTGAATTTATTTCAACAAGACCACATACGAGCACTTTCGAAACGCAGAAATAGATTAGTAGTAGTTAGACGGATACCACGGCCTCAAAGAAAACCGGCGTATACAACAATGTGATTTGTCGAGTGACTAAATGGATGCAAAATCCTTACCCTCCCCCCCATCAATCCCCAAACCCTTAATCCCCGAAACCCTAATCCCCAATAGGTCGTCAACGCACTCCTAACTCCTCTAGTGTTGCAGCCAGCAGGTGTCCTTGGACAGCACCGATTGCTTACCCAGTAACCCGTCTGCTCATCCATACATACATAAAATATTTTTGTACTTTTTTGTTTATAATTTTTATATATATCTCTATATATTTATATATGTTAATCTGTTTCTGTGTTCCGTGAGTGTGTCCGTGGCATCCCCAGGCCCTATCAGAATACCAGCGCTGCGGTATTTTTACCTACTGAATGAATTATCGCAGCATATGCTGAGATAGTGGCCTTTTTGACCTCGCACAGGTCTTTTATTTTATTTTAATATTTTTTTGTTGTTGCTTTGTTTATTTTTGTTTGTTTTCGCTTTTTGTATATATAAAATGTAATTGTATTTATTTTCTGTGCAAGTCTCAAATAAATGTTTTTTCTTTTCTTTCTTTCTTCTTTCTTTCTAAAAAAGTTTTGTGATACTCACCCCCACATCTTGTTCTTGTACTTGTCTCCGAGGCGCGCGAGTATGGCGAGGTAGTCGTTGCGGCAGGCTGCGTTACAGTCGAGGATGTGAGGCAGTACCGACACCACGCACAATGGCTTCTCGCTGCATGCCTGCATTGATGCCTCGTTGACAACCTAGGACAATCAAATACATTTTATTAATATCTATGCCAAGATGGTGTACTTATTGAAGGTGTTTTACAATCAGTCAGTGAAGCCATTTGAGACTTTTCCCCTCACAAAAAATACTTTATTGGATGAAAACGTGGCTTTAGAAGAGGAAAAACGGTATGCCAAGCCCTTTGGGCTAGTCCGGTGAATTTATGAACATAATTCTCATACATTCATAAAATGATATGGAATAAAAATGTATAGTTTTCATAAATAAAATGTTACGTGCATGAATCTACCTTACGCAGCAATTATGTTACTTCTTAGGCTAACTTATATCCAAACTAATAAATGCGAAAGTCACTCTGTTTGTCTGTCTTTTCTTCACGCCTAAACTACTGAACCTATTTATGTGAAATTTGGTACAGATATAGTTTGGAACTCGAGAAAAGACATAAGATAGTTTTTAAATCAAAGATCAGGAAAGGAAAGAAGGAAGGAAAGAGCAGGAAATCACTATTCCACGCGAACAAAGTCGGGGGCGAAAGCTAGTTTTAAATAGGTTCGTCATAAGAAAATCCTGCTGCTATACTGTAAAAATATTTATTATTTATTATGATAAAAGTATATTTACAACAGTGACGAATCGAACTAGTATACACGGAGCTACCGACAGATGGCGTGCAAAGTAGTTAGATTTGAAAATATCTATATGGATATGGTAATAATAAAATAACAATCTGAGTTTTTTTAGTATAACATCTTGCCTTTTATCCCCTAAAGAGTAAAAGCAGAAGTGTACCTATACAATGTAACTAATTATTCTAGAGTCCCACCTAATATGTAAGTTTTCTATTATTTTACAAATCTTAATGTCACAGGTTTATTTCAATTACACCCTTTTTTGGTTGGACCAATTTCTGGTTGGTCAAGGGTTGGGCGGGAGGGAATGTCAGACCCTTACTGTCTAAAAATCCCCCTGTTCCTACTCCTGCTCTGGGCCAAGGTCTCGGTGCCTCAATGTGCTTATCCCGCAAAACTTCACTTACAACCTTACAGGCACTCAAGTGTCAGACTGTCGGTCAGTCCTCTTAGTGAAGCTATTGGCTAGTTCCAAAGTGTAAATTCTGATGTAAAAGAGCAAGCAACTCCATTGCTACTCTTTTTAAATCAGTTTCACATACAGATTCTTTGGTATATTATTAAGTTGTTCGATTATGTCAGAACAGTGTAACACTGTAATGAGCTAAAAGGGTCAACTATATTAATATAGTAAATTAACTAAATGGTTTGTCTATAACCCCTATTTTACAACTCAGTACTTTCATTGGTCAAAAATAATTTAAATATATAGCTACAATACAAAAGTACGATGAAAACATGTGTATAGGAGTATTGCTATCTATTACTAACAGGCTGTAACGACAGAGATGGAATCATAACGCTGTCTCAGCTCATTTGTCCGAACAAACTGCTATCATTAAGTTCGGTAGCATTAGCTTGTTCAACCTGTAAGTAAAAAATAGCAATGATGACCTAATAAATGAAATTTAAATTGGCGTGTTTCAAAGCCAGAGTCTTTTATTTAATATCCTTACTCCGGGAGCCATTAGAGCTGACTAGGGGCCTGGACTTTTAAGAGAGGCTGATCATAGGCACTCTCTGATAAAACTTAAAATCGTGATCTCCAACTCAGTCTATGGCAAAATGCCTTTTGTCCAATAGTGAACTGTCGTCAGTATACGAGTAGTTTTACCAATTGGCTAGTTTCCAATGTCAAAAATAAATTATTTTAACTTTTCAGTTCAATAAATTATTGAAACAACCATTAATTAATTCATTATTTTCCGACATAAATGATATAGGATTTTTTCTAGCAGTTTTTTCTAGAAATTAATACCTATGTTATTTGATAGCCCGAACATAGAGGGTACTCAGACATTATGAAACAGACCCTTGGTCAAAAATAAAGTAAAGCAAAGAAAAATATAATAAAAAAAATGGTGGGATGATGTTAGAAGCAACAAAAAAAAACAACGTCACAAATCCCAAAATGTTGACTGAAAAAACGCATTAAATTGGACCAGTACTCAATTGTAATTCTCAATAATTGTAATATCGGTTTCCAAAATCATTAGAGAGTTTTAACATTAATTTTAAATAAAGATTTTAAGCTTTGAATAGGAATCTATCACCATAGTACTACTAACAAAATTTGTTTGAACAGTTACTAAGAAATGTGAAAATTAAATGACTTCCAAATAAATAATCACATTAGATGTGAATTTTGAAGTCATGGTAAATTTTCTGTAAAAAAATTATTATCAACGTTTATTTTGATAGAAACATACTATTTTATTTCACTTTTAGATTATTTTATTTTAATCTTATAGAAGACGGTCGTGTTTCGGATTTCGTTGAGAATTGGTGGGGATGTAGTTTAGAAACATAGGATAGGGTAGGATTATGTAGGATGGGGTAGGCTGGATACCTACTATAGGTAATGTAGGCTAGGTAGAGTATAGTGTAGGAGGTAGTGTAGTAGGTAGTTAGGAAGGATAGTGGAGGTTGTTAAATGGCGGGAGAGCAGCCTCGGCTAAAAGTATAACATAATACGCATATTAATACATATAAGATAATAAAACCTGTGTCTTTTAAATTTTCTACGTAAGTAGCGAAAAGTTTCGTATACTATGTTTACAGAATAACTGACACCAACATCTTATGTTCCCATTTCTCATCAGACATTTCTTTTTGTAAACATTTAGATAATTTTCTGTATAAATTTTCTCATATTAGATCGGTTGGTGTCGATTTCTTTCTTGAAACCCATTAGGACTGCCAAGACATTTTTCTTTTTTTTATTACAAAAGAAACATTTGTATAACTAGAATTTAGGAATGGACTCCATTGTCAAGGGTGCATTTGCAAACATACAAAGATACACATCACAGCCACACGTTTGTTTCGTGAGGGAACCGAGCCTGCCCCCACATTGCGCGGGAACTTTTACTTTGTGGTTTTAATTAATCTATCTGTACGGATATGACTACTAGAGTTTTTTAGAGATGTTGACTCGACGAGCGCTCGTCAAGTCAACATCTCCTGCGGATGCCCTGTGGAGGGGCGAAACACGTGTCGAGTATAGGTTTGATTGCGTGGCATGTTTTTCAGTTTTGGGTATGTGTGCATATGCATGTTACCCTTGCTGCATGTGCATAATTGCATAGGAGTGGAATTGCATCCTGCAACAAGCCTGGATTTTTGTCGCGGAATTAAAACTAAATAGTTTCCCTAACATTTAATGTTGATTTCCGCAAAGTAACGGCTGATTCTATAAATTTAAAAAGTATATATTAAGGCAATTATTTTTACGTTCGAATTCAATACGCGTGTCAGTTTAACAAAAAGAAATAACAAAAAAAAAAAAAAAAAAATATTAACTACATAATATATTATGGCAGCCGTGTTACGATTGATTAAGTCGCGTCGTAACAAAAACATATTTGTGTTAGGCGTTACAAATAGAATATATTAAATTTAAATTTCGTGACGATACTCCATTGTGAGAAACGATATGTTTAGTAATGACATTTTAAACAATAAATCTTTCGTGTGACTTTTAATATAAACAAATAATAATCAGAGTCGTTATATAAGCCGGGAACAGTGATTATGTTTACATTCACACTGCCACTCAATCGCCATAAAGTTTACGACATATTACAAATGGTGCAATGGCTCAGTCAATCCATAGACACGATGTGTGAAGGAGGTATGAGTTTCTTTTTTATATATTTTTTTCATTTTGGAAATCGAAAAAGAAGGTTTAAAGATGTGATTTATGGAATAGAAGAATGAGGTAGGTGATTATGTGGAATAATTTAAATTTGTTAAAAAATATTGGATTTTTATGCCCATTGTTACACAGGAAATCTAGCCATTTCCTTTTTGTAAAAGTTCAATCCCAATGTGAAATAATTTATTCTGTATAATGTATTAATTTATTTGTTAACAAATTTTGTATTTTGCTTCATTATTTTGTTAAATATTTGACTTTATCGTTTCGTTATAAAGTCGACAATCGGATCACTGACAGTTCTGGGTTTATTTGTGCTGGTGTATCACAACATAAATTTTAACCGTAATGATAACGACTTATGTTCTGTATGTAATTTTAAAAACCATGTTTCATATTATATGAAAATCTAACCTGGATAATTTCCGGAGCTGGTACATTCTCAGCGAGTTTCTCAAGGGCGAATGATACGATGTCACTGGACGTCCTGCCTCCGTTGTAGTCCTCGGCTGAGTCGTAAGTCTTCTTGCCTGAAGGGAAGTACTTGATGGTCGGGTAGCCTTGTACTTGGAAGCGGCTGGCCATCTCCTGGTGTACCGTCGCGTCAAGGGCTCCTACTTTCACCTGGAATTTTAAGAAGGTAATTCAAATTATGTGTTTAAATAACAATAATGTTCTAGGGTATGCGCTAATTGTATGTGCTTAAGTTGTTAATAAAACAACGAATACTACTGTAATTTAATGGAGGCATGCATAATAATAGAAACCTTATAAAAGCTGGTCATTCAATGTATATAACCACTCATTTTACTTTTCAATTACCAGTGAATAGTGTTTGCATAAAAAAATAGAACGAGTTTTTTCCAGTTCATAATTTTATTAATAACATTTATAAAATAAATAGACAGAAATAGGATTAAATATAACTTTGACTTTGAACCACACGTGTGGGGAAAATATTATAAAATATTGGGTTCTCCTAACATTGTGATAACTACCAGAAGATAATTTTCATATTAAATTTATATTTTTAACAGAGTGTAAATTACCAATGTTCGTGTTATCAGAATATAAGCTTGGAGACTGATAAGGGAGCATGAAATTGATTAGACGCCAAATTGTTTTAGCTTATAATTAATTTTATTTTATAACACGTATTTATGCCAGTTTAATTTTAAGGACGACGAATTAATAGCCATTTTACAGTTTGACGAAAACGTTAAGTAATGAAGTAATAAGCCTTAGGTCTATTCAATCTGATATTAAATATTATTACTGGCAACTAAAATTGGTTTTAACAGCAATAATAAATAATTCAGTCATAGCTTATTTGAGGTTCTTAAATCTTAGAGACGAAAACAAATAATAATATAATATATTGACTGATTTATGTTCACAGATTTCAAGTGTGCCTAATGGAACTTTTTGATTGCATACTTTAATGAAGTATGTAATTACGGTAAACGATATTTTTATCTTATCTTTTTTATAAATCCTATCTCATCATTATCTTAAAACAGATAATAGAGACCCACGCGGATTATTTCTCCACATAATTTCAGGGGGAAAAATATAATATGTAGGAGTCATATATAAAAAGGAGAATTTTAAATGATGGTGAGCTATCGGCGCGAGTGTAATTTTATTATCAGTGCACTGCCTGCCTTTGGAGGGAGAAGGCCATAACAGCTATAAGTAAGTAATATCGAGACGGCAAAATTGTACAAACCTTGCCCTTAAGTTCAGTAGCTGCCTTAGCCCAGTGTGGCTCGAGGTTCTTGCAGTGTCCGCACCATGGGGCGAAAAACTCCACCAACCAGATGTCATCGCTGTCCAACACTAATTTCTTGAAGTTGTCGTCTGTTAGCGTGACCACGTCTGAGCCGGAAGATGACTGTGAACACATAAAGAAGGATTAATAAAGATGTTTTGGTCATGTTTAACTGCTGTAAACTTTTACATTATGCAAATAAGGTTCAATTTTGTTTGTCAGTATTTAGTGGCAGTATTGAAGAGAAAATGGTAATTGAATAAATAAATCGTCATTTTAGTAATAGGTGAAAATAAAAATTTTCTTGATTTCAAATGTTTAAAAAGTTAAAACCTTTAAATTTAGTTTGTGTATTTTATGTGTGTGTAGCACAATATTTCGAAAATACTTCCGTAAGTGGTATAAATGTTATTGTATGTTGGCATGAAGCCATTTATGTACAAAGAAAAGTGTAATAAAAATAGAATGAAGGTACCCTGAATAATATTTTACAAAGCACGTGGCAAAGTAAATTACCACTATGACTATGTACACAAATACATAACATTGTGGAGAACAAAATAAAATTTTATTCACAATTTCCTTTATTGCCTATCAACTGTTTTTACGCAAATTTTACGAGTAAAGCCAATGCGATACAATGGTAACTAATTGAATATGTTGCCTATTATTATGACACTATTTATTTATGCAGACTTTCAGGTACATAAAATGACAAAAATTGCTACACGAAGCGGACTTAATGCTAAATATGGCTTACACAATAACAGATGTAAAACATAGTATTACTTGTTAGACCTTTTATGAGACAAATAGGTAATTTAGCTGAAGATTGAGTTCAGTGATCTGCTTTGGGAAAGGCCTATGTCTAGTATTGGAAATCTACGAGCTGAAGACCATAAGTCATTGGGTCACTTTTAGTGACTTTAGTGTCGCATGTGTACTTAGACTATGGCGTCCGATTACCAGTAAGCAGGTTCTAAAAACTACCCAAGAAGGCCATATGAGTAACTTCTCAATAAGATTAAAGTACAGTTAATACTTCAAACTGGTGTAATTGATTTCTTTTCGATATAAAAGGAGGTCAGTAAGTTCAATGACGTGTCCCAATAGAACTGCAGACTGAGTATGCGTAGGAGTCAAGTGGGCGCTGAACGCACGACATGCGACGAAAGAGTTTATTTCCTACTACACTACATACGTCAGAGATTCTTCAATTGTGGAACGAAAACAACAAATTCCTACACAACTGGAAACGAAATATAAAAGCTATTAGTGAATATTCGAACTATAAAATAAAATGCACTTACGTTAACACATATTCTATTCAAACATTTGGAATAATTAAAAACTTTCAGGTACTTGCTCATTAGTAAATGTTTTTACAGAGAATAGAGTGGAAAAAAGCAGGCAAATGAACCTAAAGTAAGCGCTGAGCGCTGTCAACGGCCCATGCTATAGGGTTCAACATGCATTGACAACCCATTAGGAAGCAAGCTCCTTGACAGAACTTTCAAAATGTTAATGAGAGGCTTAAACTTTTAAGTCTTACTGACACCTTGAAAAGTCTAGTCTAATAATGGAAGGAAACGTGTAGATAAAACGCCTTGTATAAAATCTGTAAATGGGCAAAAGTTTGGCTGCTAACGCCTTTAAAAGGTTGACTAGTTGAAATGGTAATCGTCGTAGGTGGAATATCTGACGCAATTTTTTAAATGTTTATGTAGGTAGGTTGACTTCGTTACGAAATTTTCATACTAATTTGTATTTGATTCTTCTTCTAGAACTTTAGAAATGAATTATGAGCGGGTTAGTGGGGGCATAACTATTTTTAAGAGTAATTCAATGCGAAAATTATGAGGACTGATTCTATGGGCTAAAATGCATATCTGAGCGATGACCGCATCGAAACAATTTTCACCAACAAATTACAGGTTTCCTCATGGAAAATGATAACCACAAGAAAATCAGAATTCCTTTTTGAAAATAGATAAACTGTTTACAGTAGCTCTCTACTACAAACATCGCTTAAAGATAAGGTGTCATTGCCCTGTAAATACTGCATACTTAGAGAAACCACGATCTACAGACACTGATGATTTGGATGGTTTTTAAACTAGCAGGGTCACTTCATCATTAATAATCAACGACAAGCAACACATAATCATTGGCAACACAAGAGGAGTTACAAGTAGGTTGAAACTTTATTATGAAGGGCCATATTTATTATGAATCATAGACAACTAGCTACATATTTTTTTTTAAATTCAAACATTTGATTAAATAATGCTTCATTATACTCGAGTGTCCTTTGAAATGTACTAGTATCTATACTAAGAGACTTAAAAAATAATATTTATACACGTGTGATGACGTAATTATTATTTGTTGTTGATAAGGGCAATACTTGAAGATATTTTGTATGAACTTTTTATTTGCCATTTCAACCTTGCTTATCCCCTAACCGACGTTTTACAATGGTAGCATTTTCATAAACTAAACCCTTGCCTTGAAGCACATATTTCAAGCGCAGTAATGCCTTTATAATTTTCGGTTTCTCTTCAACGGATACATCGCCACGGAACAATTGTGACTGGAGTAATTTGAACTTTTCTATAATAGTTAATCTACTGGTAGTATCTTCGGGAGTTTCTGTTGTCATAACTGTAGTGGTAGTAGAATCTGTGGTAGTTATTTTCTGTGCAGTTTTCTTTATATTCAACTTTTTTAAGGGCCTTTTCATACGAAGTATTGATTTTTTGTCACCATGTGACTGGGAGTCATTGAACTCTGTTCTATCTGGCATACAAGTGGCCTGATCTTTTGTTGGTTCTTGAGTAATATTCTTAGACAATGACATTTTTGTAGTTTTAAAGGCCTTTTGGGCTTGTTTCCATGGAATGTTATGGCCATATATCTCTGGTTCAGATGGCTAATGGAAATGTATTTATGTAGTAAATGCTGGTAGTGTTAGTCATTGTATAATTTTCTAAGAGTAACAATAGAGATCTGAGTGTAAAAGCCAGGTGTAGTGTTAGTAGTGTGAGTGGATTTAGATAATTGGAATTGTAACGTTATTTACATGTTCTAGTTCTAAAGTTATTTGTAAACATTTAAATCACAAGATTGCATATCTCCTAAATTGATATTACATCATAAATGTGTAAGGCAAATATCAAACTCTTTGAAAAGAATTCTACTTAATATTTCCTCTAATTATCGTGGCTTGATTGTACTACTTATTTATAACATAGTAAAAGGATGCATTTAGAATAAAATATATTGATTTTATGATAATATATTGTTAGAGAATATTCTCCTAGTTATCATTATACCAGTTATCATTATAATGATATGATCTTTCCTGGTCAATAAAAGCTTTTATTAACCTATCAATATTTCTCAAAATCTGTACCTTTTCTGATGAATCCTCGGGTTTCTTTCCTAGTCTTTCGTAAGCCTTAGTCTTCACAGCCTTAAGAGCAGCATCTACGAAAGCATCGGCTGTCCTTCCACCTTTGTATGCAACATGTTGGCGGCCTGTGAAGATCTTTATTGTTGGGAAACCTGATACTCCAAAGTCCTTAGCAAAGCTTCTGTACTTGTCAGCATCCATTGCTCCCACTTTAACTACACCCTGAAAAGGTAAAGGATGTTTAATCATAGTGTAACTGTGGATAGTTATATATAATCTATGATAATAAAATATATTAAAAACTATGGGTGACTCTTTGTTATATACTCCTCCATATAGCACAGTCATCTTATTTAATAAAAAAATGAGTTTTAACATTAAATAAAGCTTAGTGTATAAGTACCAATCCCTTCAAATAATAAAAGATCAAACTGTAATTTTATATGTTTTATTTGACTAGCTATTTATTAAAATCACCAGATCTTGTATTCATATTCGTATTACTATTTTTAGTATGTGATAAGGGGGCAAACAAGATGGTTCATATGAAAAGCCTTTATGGAAAAGGGATAAGAGATTTGAAGTTGAAGAAGACCCCAATTTGGAAATGAGTAAAGAGGATAGTTGGGCCAGTTACTTAGAATAATCAAATTGAAACTATTTTTTTTAATAGAAGTATTTTTTTATGTTGACAAGTGCCTATCATGGTCTAATTGTAATTGTAATAGGTAAATTTTTTAAAAACTGGCTTTGAATACCCATGCAACTGCACTTTTGATTTTCCATAACAACTATTATAAATATATTTTTGTTTATAGGTACAGTTAGTACAAGTAGAAGTAAATCTTGTTACATTAAAATAGCTGCCAAAAAGTGGGAGGAAACTATGAAGAGAACCAATTATAACATAACACCTCATCTGCATTATTTTCCTGAGGAGTACCCAATAACCAAAATTTTGACACATTACAATTTTATAAAAGTAAGTACAGGGTCTTTCTTTGAAGTTTCTAGAATGTCCCACATTATAATATTTTGTTATTAATGGGTGCAACACATCATTTTATGTTTGATTAAGATTCTGTGGGCACTCGAACATAGGCAGAGTATGTATGAATTAATTGAAATTTACGGCTGACTAAGAAATATAGAATTAGTTGAATTTATATAATGATATGTTGGAAACGTACCTTCAGCGCTCTGGCCGCTTTCTTGTACTCTGGCACCATGTTCTTGCAGTGGCCGCACCACGGCGCGTAGAATTCCACCAACCAAGTTTCATAGCCGTTTGTGACTAGGTCATTGAAATTGTCAGGGGTCAGGTCTACCACGTCCGAACTGGAGTCATACAACGCCAACCCAGACCCCACACACAATAAAATACCTAAAATACAAAATTAACATTACAACCGGCAACTAAGAATTCACCAACATAACGAATTGATTTCACAGTATAATTATGTTATTTAAACATACCCAGGAAATAGGTGTGTAACATTGTGTTGATTAAGTGCTAGTTAATTTACGAACTATAAAAACATCGACTATTACATAAATGAGATCGCACAACCTATCGGCTAAACAATGAGCCGTGCTGAAATAAACACGTCAATCTTTTTTGGCACTCCGAAGAAAGACACGATATTGTCAATGGAATTCGTGGACACTCAGTATTGGCCAATTCAAATTTCCCGCCGGTGACTGCTCTTTTCTGCGTAAAATGAAGTTTATGGTATATTTATAAAATAAATATTTATTTGTCCTGGCTACTCTGCCAACGTAACCAACTTAAAAAAAGGTAAAAGAAAAATTAAAAGTTTTAATGAATCTGAATCTATAAAAAATTAAATAAGAGTACCTAATGTATAAAATTGTAGATACTTATTCTTAGATAGTTTCTTCTGATTACATACCCACATTAAAATCATAGCTGATTTAATGTCGCGGGCGATGCATTATTTTAATTTGACTGGACTTTATGGTATCGTATGCGCACATGCAGCGTGTTGTACTGCGCATATAATATTATGTTTGTGTTTGCGTGGGCGATTTGACACTGCATTGGACAACAAACGCACGACGAGGCATAAACGAGACCTCAGAGAGCTTGCCTTATGGGTTTGTTTTGGTTATTTTTCACTCATCTGTTGTAGCCAAGTAGTAAATGGTAGCCATAGCATTATACAATATGATACTAGTAGGAACAGAAATAGAGACGTAGTGTTGGAGACCTATGTTTCGGCACGTAAGGGGCAGCTCAATCGGGGTGATACTACAGATAACCGGCGTGAAACAACTACAGAGTTGTGTTTCACCGTGTGAATTAGGTTACCAGAGGCCCAACCTTTACCAATACCCAACACTCGTAACTCCTCCGTTGTTACAGGTGTCCATGGGCAACGCTGATTGCTCACCATTATCCTTCTGAACGTTTGCCGTACAGTCGCATAAGAAAAAAAAACCCTTAGCGGATATCTTTGCCCGAACACAAAAAATAACTATAATATTGTAAATAAATGTACCTATATAGCTATCGACGTTATTTAATTTTTAGGCTAAACTTGAATATTTTTGTGGTTGAACCATCGATCACTAATATTATTACTGATCGAAGGGTTAAACTAAATATTAGATACGTTGCTAAGTTCACTCAGTCGTCGACTAAACATAATAGAAATAGGGGTAGTGTGGGGTGGTGCTAAAATCTTGTTTTACGTTTTACACATTGCCAGAATGTACGACATCACTCAGTTAAGTTATTGTAATATTAGAATAATAATAAGTGTTATGTTTCATTTCCATGCTATTTTGAGATTATTAGAACATTCCAGATAATGAAACGGGGAATGATTCCCGAACTTGCGTGAACATAGCAGTGACAACATTGTCCACTGCAAAAACAGTAATAGGGTTGGCACTCATTATATTTCAATTAAATTCAAAATTGCTTTCTACCTATGTACCCCTACCTAATTTATTAGAAATTGGTTATCATGATATGAGTAAACATATTACGGCTGAAGTTTCAAGTTGGCATGAGTATAAATACAAAGGTGGAAGTTTCGGCTACCAACTTGCATCTTTATACTACTATTTTCATATCTGCAATTGTAACGATGTACCTATGTGTCTGTTAATGACTGATAATTAATAATAAAAGAGTTGATTGATTAGTAATAATAAGAGTTTATATTTAAACAGATTTTTATTTATCACTTAAACGTATATCGGCCCTAACCCACCGTTTTAGTTTGTATGAAAGTGTAACAGTTGTGTATTATAACATTGTCCACGTCAGTAAAATAAATATGAGCGTGTTTGATGCATTGATCACGAGAGATTTGTGTTCTTTACTTAAAAAACAAACCGAAAGTTTTCGAGAAAATAAGGGTGAGCAATGTTGAACGCTTGTGCGTATAATATTGCCCGCCTTATCAAGTGCCTTTTTCTAGGATTCTGTTATAGATAGAAGCACTACATTGCAAAAAGAAGCCTTTAATAGTCATTGCTACTATAGTCAACTTTCTACGCTTTTCCGGTAAGCATTTTGGCAGAATCTCAAAAATAAGTAAAAATGCGGGCAATGATGGCCGGTTTCACGGTAGCAATAAAATATCAGTATTTGATATACATAAAAATTTGTATTTAAATATCCTATAATACCTACATAATTATGTAAATAACGACGTATAGTCGTGCCGTTTTTAAAATGATACATTTATTAAAACAAATGTATAGTTAAGTAGCAGTTTCATAAATTCAATTATTTTTGCTATTGTTAATTATTTTCCTTTTTCTGTTATTCAGACGGTTTAGCCTGTCATTTGATTTCAAGCAGAGGACCTCATTTATTCTCGATTCACAGTGGGCAGTTACGGTTTCTATTACGTTTTTGAATTCATCATCACATTCAAACATTTTATTATGCCTGGCTTTGAAGGCTTCAGTCTGATTACGAATGGTTTTTGCAGTTTGAGAAAGAATAAGTTCGAATGTTTTTATGGCAGCAGCTACGCTCTCTAACTCTTTGGTTACATTTGATGAAAAATTGATCTCATTTGCGCTTTTTTCGACTTTTTCTCCAGAGGAACAGGCTTGTGACGATTCGCCAGGATTTTTTTGGAAATCTACAGTACTATCAGGGACGGATTCATTAGCTACAACTGATACATTTTCAGTAAGTATTGTATTATTTTCACTTATAGAATTCTCTTCTTCTCGTGTTTCATTGGGTTGGTTTTGCATTGCAGATAAATTATCCTCTGTAGTATTATCAGGATTGTTACTGATCACACTGCACGGCTCGTCAGCCAATGAAGAAATTGTGCTATTTACGACTGAAGTAAATGTGGTATTAGGCGCAGATTGTGAGCAAGAAAAGTGGGCGCAATCTTGCTTAGCTAATAAATGGTCTTCTGGTGTACTTTGAATATCTCCAATTTGATGATTTATTATAATGGATTCCTTGTGATTTATTTGCCGTTGTTGTGGAGTTGGCAGCTGAGGGTCATGTGCAGGCAATTCGGTTGAAAAGGGATTTGATAAATTTGTTGTGGTTGATTGCATATCCGGTACCATAATTTGGTAGCTACTTTGAGTAAGAGGCAACTGATTAAAACTATTAACATCTGTCGATTTTCTAGGAAATAATGACTTATCGTGCGGATGCTGGATAACAGAATAGCCTCTGATCTCTGCAGATAACTGATTGGAAGAATTAGAATATTGTTGATTATGATAATTAACCATTGCAGATGGGTCATTCTGCTGAGTGCCATATATTTGGTTAGCATGACTTGGCTGTGGAGGATAAGTGTGTTTACCCCTTCTTCCATAATGTTGTAACCAAGCTGCGTCTTTTTCATTTTCATTGGGGCCGAATTCATAACTAAATCTATTCCCAGCACTCTGATAGTGTTGCGCCGATTTCGAAATCGTGTTTTTATTATTTTGAGGAGCATTGAGTATCAAAGGATTTCGTCCCGTTGTTGTTCTAACAACGATGTTTCCAGTGCAATTATCTACAGTTAAATTTTGTACAGGAACTGGTAAATTTTGTTCATTAACGCGGTAATGTTGGTTCTGTTCAAAACATTCCGTGTCCATCAGAATATTTTGAGAAGGTATATTGCTAACTTGAGTATCTTGTGGACGGACATATGTGTAGCCACGCTGTTCCAGAGAATGTACCCGATTATACGTCAGAACCTTTTTAGTAGGAACTTTAATCTTTTTCTTAGGGGGTGCTTTCTTTGGCTTTGACTTGGCAATAGGCTGGTTGACTTGTTTACTATGCTGAGCGCTGGTGTATTCCAATGGATACGACACATTATTGAAAACATTTTGATCGTAAAGTTTTTCAACAGTATGGATTACTTTATTGGGTTCCAAAATGCTTATTGCGTGGGCTTCCCCGTGTGGATAATTGCCAGTAATATTAAAGGTTGTTTTATTCTCGTGTATTTGTGCTTTTGTTATCAAACGAGTTTTCATAGTTTCTGTTGAATATATTGTTTCAGTTAACAACCGGCGAGCCTTCAATCTTCCATCTACAATATGCGTAGAATTTTCAGGATTTTGTTTTTGTTCATGGCAATCATATCGCAAAAACTGTTCGGGAACTACAGATATTGTTGGACGTTGCGCCATTTCGGACGATGTCGTTGGAGTAGGTGGTGTTGAAGTATTTGTTTCGACCAATGATTCTTCTATAGTCTGAATATTCAAAGATTTTGTACTATATTCAATATGTCGCTCCAGGACAGTACCTTCAATTGAGTAACTCATATTGTCTGAAATGATAAAATGGAAGTCAAAGGCTAGCTAACCGCTAATTCCCGTTAGATATGATAGAGTGCTTGACCGACCCCTATGGGTGGCTACCTAGGTAACATTTTGTTGAGTTCTTTTTAACTTTTTTTACATTTCGAAAATTGTTAGGATTTCAAGGGCGTCTGAAGTCATACCTATTAGGTATATGACGATATGCTCATCCCCTATGACATGAGACACGAAAAATAAGTGGTAAAAATGTTTGTGACATTATAATATTATGTCTAGTTTTGTCAACCATTTCGGAGTTTAAAAGAGGCGTGACATTATGTATTAACTGGTGGTCATTTGATAGTATGGAGCTACTGAACTAGGTACAGTAAAATGGACTGCCAGATTAAAAACAGTGTTCTTACCATTATTAAGCACTGGAATTTTGGAATCTGATTCTGAATGCTTTGTGTCCAATATAATCAAATCGCCTAAATCAAGGTCATCATCTGTAAAGACACAAATATGCACTAGAATTGATCGAAATGATTTAAAGTTAGTTTAACCATTTGGTATAGTTTAACTAACGTTGTGTTAGTAGACTCTCTTAGCCCTGTGTGGAGTGAAAGGGAGTGTCAAAATCTTATTAACTAAAAGCCCTCAAGTTCCTTGTTCTGCTCTTGCTTCTGTTTGACCCCTGAACATCAGCTCTTTGAGGTGCGTGCAGATCACTAAGAACATAAAGCTGTGATCTGATTCTGGTCGGGCAATTAACTTCCCTTGTTCGCCATCTCACCCATCAGTTAAATGCTGAGCTGATAAGGTATCAACAGTTATGAAAATATCTTACGTCATCAGTACCAAAATAAGTAACTTGGCTGAAGGTACTTCAAAATTTTGAGAACATACCATCACCATCTGTTGTGACATCATCTTCAGACCTAGGCATCTGTTCTTCCATTGAAGTTACAGTGTTTAAATTGGTATCTGAAATGGTAATAATTTAACACAGGTAGGTAAATAATTTATAAATAAGGTAGATGACTTTAAGAAGACTTTTTAATAAGTGTAGCGCGGGATTTTATTTGGTTAGGCTGTGGCTTCGCTACACTGTGGCTGCAACGCGCCGCAGCGCTACCTATTACAGTAACACGCATGCGCGGCCCTCCTCCGCCGCCCGCACACCCCGCGCGCCAACGCAGGCCGAGGTGGCGCGAGCGGCGGCGAGAGAGAGAGAGCCCCAACCCTCGTCGCGTACGGGCGACATGTACCTACATTCCTCCGCGACTCGACGCCACGTTATTTTAATGTAACCATGTGCTTAATTTTAAGAATTATGTATGTTTGTCATTAATTATGTTATACAAACAATAAAGTTTTAATGTTTCAACCATTAAACTGGCGCCCAAACTAGTGGCCGAATCGTAACGACCGTTACAAACCGAGATCCAGTGCCTACGTGACCGCGGGTAAAGTACCTACCTACCCGAACCTACTCGCCGCGTTACCGTTGTCATCACTAACGTGAAGATGCCGACAACGAGGAAAGGAGAAGCCCTCCGTAAACAACGTGGTGAAGATGAAGGTGACGTCACGCTCACTGAAGAGGAGAGCGTCGCCGAGCGCGGCCACGTGGATGATGCCGCGCGCGCCGGCTCGAGGTCGACATCTCAGCCAGCTCCCCAGATCCCAACAGACTTCTTATCCACGCTGATCGACACGATCACGCGTGCGCAAGTGGAAGCCAACAGAAGCCTCATCAACACGCTGATGACGTCCAGCGGCGACTTCAGAGCCTCCACCCCAGTCGGGATCTCGTCATCAAACGCGACCAGCGCAGGTGTCGCTGTCGCACCTGCGCCGTGCAGCGACGCCAACTTCACGAAGTGCACGGCGAGATACGACGGATCATCCCAGGACACCGAGGTCCTGGAAGCGTTCCTGGACGCCGTCGAAGTTTACAAGGAGTGTGCAGCGGTGAGCGACGAGCACGCCCTACGTGGGTTGCCCATGTTGCTGGAAGGCGACGCCGCCGTGTGGTGGCGCGGCGTGAAAGCATCGGTGCCCACGTGGACGGACGCGATAGCGCGGCTTCGCGCCACCTTCGGCGTGGCGCAGCCCGCGCATCAAACCCTCCGGGAAATATTCGCCAGAGAGCAGGGAGAAGAACGTGCAGAAACATTTATATGTAAAGTGCGCGCGTTACTCGCTAAATTACCGTACACGTTGGAAGAAAATGTGCAGGTGGACATTTGCTACGGTTTACTGCACCGACGCGTAGTGAAAAGAGTGCCGCGAGACAGTGTTCGTAGGTTAGACGACTTACTATATAAGGCTAGGATCGCGGAGGATACCTACAAAGCGTCAAAGGTAAAGTCCGACCCTGTAAATAATAATAAATCGACCGACCCACCGGCGGTGACTACCACCGACCGAGATTTAACACAATTAAGTTCCGCTACCACGAACGCGACTACGTCGCGTTGCAGCAACAGAAATAGGCCCCGTTGTAATTATTGTAAACTTTTCGGGCATGTTAGCGACGAGTGTCGTAATCGCGAGAAGTCTACCATTAAGTTTAATAGTAATAATAGGGAAATACGTTGTTATGGTTGTGGTAAGCAGGGCGTCGTGAGGTCGAAATGTGATGTTTGCGCGAAAACAATATCGAAACCCAACGACAAAACATCTTTCAACATTGTTGATGTAGATTTTTGTACCGAGGTAGAATATAATAGTTACGCGAGTCCGAGTGATATAGATTCGTGCTGTTATATGGACTTTGTAAAAAGTCTTTTTAAAAAATACAATTTATATTTAACTAGAAAATAAAACGAAAATTGAATTTTTATAAGACAACCGTCTGGATTGGGATATGGATGTAGACTGAAGGGAGGTTGTGTGTCAGGAGATAGCTTGGAAGGAGAGGGGAGTGGAGTTAGGACTGAGTCAGGACTGAGTCAGGACTTAGTCAGCAAATAGGCGAAGGATGGGAGCCTATAACACCTCCCGGGGGTAGACTAAACTTCGGGGTTGTTTCTTCGAAGTTTGGGAAAAGGAAGAGAAAGATATGAAGGTCACAGGTTTACCCTGATACTAGGACTTGGAGTACTCATGGGAGTCTGGCAAGATTTACTAGTTTTAGTGGGGATTACAGGTTGAGGTTCAGGTGTTAATTCGACAGGTAAGTTTACAGGAGCCGATTGGGAAGACCTTGAGAATGGGAAAGGAAGACGGTTGTGTGATTTAATACAAAGAACGCACTTAATAATAGCAAAAACACAAATAATACAAGTTACTAACACTAAGATTATAGAATAATGAGTCCCATATTTAATTATTTGGGGTTGGTTGATAATGTCATTACTTTTTTCTGATAATAAGTTTAATTTAGTTTTGACTTCCTGAGTAAAAATATCCAAATCAATGTTTTGTAATTTGATATGAGGCTCATCATTCATCACATCTTTGAACTTATCTAAATAACAACAAGAGTCGTTTACAATGTTGAAGTCGGATTGGGTGACCGTGACATTCAACTCTATGTCATTGAGTTTAGGTACTAACTTAGTGCCCTTGCAATATGCGAAACAATCAAATGGAATGTTTACGATTCCTGTCCCAATGATGTTAATTTCTACAGTTTTTTGATTAGGGCATTCTATGTTTAACTTATTATTTTCTGATTGTACATAAATCCAATTATTATTATTAAGTGGTTTCCATACATCTAAATATCCATGAATGAATTTCGTTTTGCACTGCACAGGTAAGGTTTTTATCACGTTAGTTAATAACTCACTTTCACAACTTGGGTTTGCGCTAGTCGAGTGTACCGTGATGACGTCACAAATGAACGCACGGGTATTAATCGCTCTGCATTCGTTCAGTGATTCTAAGTTACAGTATTCTGTTTTATCCTTGGTCATTGCAATGTACTTACTACTAGGGGTTATAAAACTAAATGAATTCGGTTCAACATTATGATGTGGGATAGGTAATGCAATACTATGGTATATACTATATACCTTATGTGACACTAAGGGTATCCTTAAGATGAAAACAATCTTGTTGTTGGAACTGTAACATTTTACAGTAGAAATATTAATTAACAAGTTAATATGACTTAATTCTAGGTTTATAGGTAATCTTAATTCTACAGGTAAATGTCTATAATTATCAGCTAAATCTCGGTACAGCTGCGCGGGTGGCAATATAGCCGGATGTATTACATTTTGGCGACAAAAGATGATAGCGTTTGTTATGTCTTCGAGTCTAAACGATAAGAGTAGTACAGCGGTTTCCAAACTGTTTAGTAATAAATTAATATCTGATTTAATTATTAAGTTATTTGATATCAATGTGACGTTTTCAAATTTTGATTGTAATCTGTCGATACCAGAATTGAGCTTGGCTTCATTAATTACTATGTTGCGTAGCGTTTTGTTTAATTCTGTAAAAGTAGACGTAGTAATCAAGATGTTTTCTTTAATAAGAGAACTCAGTTGTTTTTCGTTATTTTGAATACTCTGTATAGCGGTATCATATTTGACTCCGTCATTTTCATCTAGAGTTCCAAATATAGTTTTTGATAGGGTGCCTATGCCACTTATCCAGGCCCCACGTTTAAATCTATTACTAATGAGATGAGCAATGGAGGAATATTCGGAAACTATATCATTAAATTTGACAGTAAGTGGCTCTAATATGTTATGACATTCCAATCCAATCATAGTTTTCATATCGAATCGACTACATAAAGAACTTATTTTGCCTAATATCGAATTAATATTATTTATGTGTGGTTCAATATAGGATATATCGACGGGGTTTACTACGTCTAGGTGTCCTGTATTAATTTTGAGTTCACCGACTGGGTCAAAGTGTATACCAGGGCTTGAGTTGATTGGTTGTACATACTCTTGGTGACACCAAACCAGTGCGCTGTAACGAGAGAGACTATATACTATTATGTACTATTACTACTTACTACTATATACCTATATATTCTATTACTATTATATATATAATTACTACCAACTAGGTACTATTATTCACTCATGCCTACAGGTTTGACTTCGTCGTAATGATGTTTCACGTGTCGTCTATTTATGAGTAAAGATAGTGTATGATTCCCATGAACCTTCACTATTTTATACGGGCCTTTCCACAAGGGCGATAAGGCTTTTCGCAACCTTAGGTGGTTTTTCAATAGGACATAGTCTCCTACTTTATATTCTTGAGGACGACTACGTGAATCATAGTACCGTTTTGAATTTTCTTTGGATTTGTGAATAAAGTCTAAGGCTCTATCACGAGCGTGTTTCAATCGGTGCTGAAGGAGTTTTACATACTCAGGGTAAGTAGCAGTAGATTTATCATCGTATACGGAGTCTGGGATGTGAGGTTTATGTCCAAATAGTAATTCGAATGGAGTATAATGGGTTGTTGAGTGTACGGCAGTGTTGTATGCTAACATTGATGTATACACGTATCTAGGCCAATCGTCTTGATTTTCATTAACATAGGATTTTAAATATTCTTTAAGAGTGGAGTGTGATCTCTCTAGAGCGCCTTGGGTCTGCGGGTGGTATGGAGAGGACCACAATTGTTTGATTTTTAGAAAATCACATGTCTTTTTAAATAAATCCGCAGTAAAATTAGTTCCTTGATCAGTGAGTATTTGTTTAGGTATTCCAAACAGAGATATAAAATGGAGGAGACAATCGCTTGCCTCGGCGGCTGTGTTACTGTGTAGAGGATAGGCTAGTGAGAATTTTGTTAAATCATCTTGTAACGTAAGTATGTATTTAAGTTTTGCCGTTCCAGATTCGGGAAGAGGTCCCACGATATCGAGGGCTAGGCGTTCAAACGGAGAAGTAGATGTAATGACCATGGGAGCTCTATTTATCTTCCGCAAAGCTTTATTGGTTTGGCAGGCTTTGCAGACTTTAACATAATTTTCGATATCGGTTCGCATATTTTTC